CCCCAAAACCCCAAAACCCCAAAACCCCAAAACCCCAAAACCCCAAAACCCCATAAACTTCTATTTTTATTGTCATATAATAATTTATAAGCAAGCAAATTAAGATGCTAGCAGAGGTTCGAAATATGCTCAAGAGTAGTAGAAAGAAGAGGTCAAAATTTTTGAATGACCCTGATAAGAGGCAAAGACTGCTCAAAAAGCTAGGCAAAGAATTCGATCAGCTCTCCTATGAATAAAATATTATATGCAAGAGCAGGTATGTCTTTAATAATTCCAGTTTTTTGTTCTCTTAATAACAAAATAATCGATTGTCTAGGAAGATAAAGGAGCTGAAAAAGCAGATTATCATGATAACAGTAAGTTGCTACTTTTAGCCCATCCTCTTCGAAATTAAATTTGAAGGAATGTCTTCTAAACTCTTCTTAGAGTCAAACTCTCCAATTCGCAGTAGAAATAACCAGCTCCATTTCAAAGAGAACAACTCAAGATATGCTCACACTCGGAACAACCTGGTCTTTGATATCTACAAGTTTGACTAAACATAACCTATAGCAAAGAAAAGAACGAGGTTAGCAAAGGAATCAAGGAAATTTACCCAATGCTTGTTCAGAAAGCTCAAAAGAGTAAGCTAATTTCCCTCTTTACAGTCCAAATTCTATTCATTATTCTGATGCTTTGTAGTCCAAAAGGAATCAATGAACAGCATAAAGCTTCATATATTACTCAAAGAGAAACGTAAAATCGAAATCGAGACTCGGATACAAGAAATACAGGAGAAAGTCAGAGAGATAAACCAGATCGATGCTATTGAAGCCAAGCAGGTATTCCTACCCTCTAAAACTTATTTAGAAAATATAATAAAGGAACAAGAAATTGCAAAAGAGGAAAAGATAGATAAGTCCCCTCCAGAGAAAATAGATAGCCTTAAAGAAATGTATCACAAATTTCAAGCTTTACGCAAGCTTGAGCCTAAAAAGAAGAAAATCAGAAAGATCAACCAAGACCATTTATTTAAACTTTCAGTACTCACTTCAGTTACAACTTTAGGCTCCTTTACAAAGTCGGCTAGGCATCAGAGAGACCAAAAACCCTGTCAACAAAAGTGTGCAGAAGGTATTTCCCTCTCTCTTAACCCCATTTAAACCTGAATTAACACCCTTCTAGACCTCTGCTCTAAAAATCACTGTTTCGAAGGAAAAGTGAGGTTTAGGAATAATCTGTAGTAAAAGAAACAGTAGAGCAAGGAACCAAGTTTTGAGTGGGGTCAAGTGAAATACTAATTGCTCAGCAGAGACTGTCAGGAAGCTGAGAGTAGGATGGCAATTTTAGAGGGCGGATTGGGTGTGAGTGGGGCTAGAGATTTTTAAGAAGAAAGTGGGGGTTGACAATCGGGTTTGAGAGAGGAAGTTTGGAAATGTTTTTGAATTGATGGTTTTGGGGCGGTTAAGTTTTATTTTGACAATTTTTTTTGGTTAAAATTAGGGTAATTTGGTGTGATGATTGTTTTATAGAAAAGTAGAGATGAAAGTTACTTTAAAAATGCAGAGAAAAAGAGTAATATGAATTATAATATTGATAGATAAAACTTTTTTGAAAATGCTGCTTGTTTGCTCTTTTGGTACCGCTTAAAATCTGGAAAATGCTTACAGATGATCTTATTATTTTATGTTTAGACTTTTCCAAGACTTTTGCAAAACCTGTAATTTCAACTAGAAATGCCTTCCGAAGCTCCAAAGAGCTTGGCCAAGACGTTATGAAAGTATTTCTATATTATAATCCTTAGCGCTTGCATCAGAGCATTGAAAGGATTTCTAACAAGCCTCTTGACAAAGGTCTCGACTTGAATTTGAATATTCCAACAGATTTAGAAGGTAAATCAACCAAAATATGTGCCTAAAATGTTCTTTTCAGAAATAAAAGATTTATCCAAACGTGCGATCCTTATTACTGAATTCTCTAACACATTCTTTAGCCCAAAAACCCTCAAAATCGCCTAAAAAGTATCTTGAAATCACTCAGAACCAGAACTGTCTGGACAAAATAATTACTCAATGTGACACTGAGGCCAAAAGGAGCTACAAGGACCAAAAAGTGTACTTCCTGGCTGAAGAAATCAAAGAAAATTACATCACCCAAGGCATGGAAAAATGATACAGTAAGACTCCTGAATTATCAGTTTAGAGCTGATCAACGAGTGCAACGATGTTCATAATAAATCATTTAGAGATATGTACGACTGGAAGAGAGGATGACTCCACCTTGAAGAACAGATGGCATTTGATGTGTGAAAGGAGTACAAACATTCCCTAGGAGATCCAGCTCGGATGGTCGCAAAGATTGAAGCAAAGATCTTGACAGGTAATAATGTCAAGACTAATAAAAATCAAAGTAAGTGCACTTTTTGAACATTATTGGAAGTGACTGTTCTTTAGAAATTGCTAGATTCACTCGTCAGGTTGAGATGAGATCCTCAGCTCATAAAGGTTAAATTTAAATAAAAAATGGATTCAAAAATAACTACTTAAGCAGGGGTTTTGGGGTTTTGGGGTTTTGGGGAGAT